ACCCGGTGTGAGACCCACACACGTGTGTTTGGGGCAATGCATTATGGGAGATCATCCACTGCACAGAACCGGGAGGACCAGACGATGCCCAAATACAGGCGAGTTTCCCATAGATCTTTGAGAGTTTCCCATAGATCTTTGAGAGTTTCCCATAGATCTTTGCGAGTTCCAGGCGACTTCCGCTAATCTTTCAGCCCCCATGCCGTCACAAAGCACCACTGAGCACAACCATTCATTTGAATAGGGCGCCATCTTGGCTCGCCGGGGCTTGTCCAAGAGTCGCTCTTGGCTTAAAGGGGACATATCATGAAAAATCCACTGTTTGTGCCTTAAATGCCTTATGTTGTATAGTTGGAGCCTCTAGAAGTGCAAAAAAGTTGAAATCAGTCTCTTCATGGGTTGCAGAGAACAATTCATATTCTTCTTAGGTAAGATTTTTCAACCCGTTCTGATTTTGCCATTCTCTATTACGTGTTTAGAATTATGACGTCACAGTATTTGCAGCGAGACTGCTATATAAGGGCATGGGCGTCTAACAAAACACTTCGGCCCAGCCCTCCTCTACTGTGCATCACTTAATTTGTAGTCAAAGCTCAAGGATGCCAGCGCACAGGGCTGGACTGGCCATCGGGCGTACCGGGCAATGCCCAAAGGGCCTATGCCCATATTTGGGCCGGTCTGTCTGCCTCATACAAAACACATGTTTATGAGAAGTGTAAATCCGTTGAGAATTGTTGGAGCGGGGCGCGCGTATCCGCGGGGCACCTGCTGTATGTACTCGAACGGGATTCCGCCACCTCAGCGGCCGCAGTGTTCCGGGGCATCTGCGGCCGCTTTGTAATGAGCAGCTTCCGCGTCCAGCGGCTGCGAGAGGCTGTGAGCGTCCAGCCGCTCGCAGCCGCTCCACCGTGTTGTGGCTGAGCGCGCAGCCTCATCGTGGCCATGTACCCAACCCCATAAACGCGCACAGGACCATGCGTGTCTTTGAGTAATCTGTGCACCCAATAAATACACTGCTGCAGGAAACAGTCCGCGTCTCCCTCTCCTCTCGAAGCGCCATTAAACGCCCTAAATAAAGTTCTGATACCTACATTTTGCATTGAATAAAAAGTTCATGTTTGAGCCCAAAAGTAAAATGTTGTGAACAAATTAAACAGATTTAGAGCCAGCAAATGGCTGACAATATGCATTTCAGTCTTTTTTGACCAATTCTCATCCCTGTAACAAACAATAGTGTTGTCTGTGTCCACCTCCCTCACTCTGAGACATGTTCATTACTCTCTTTAATGTAGACTATTGCATTTTATTTTATTGTTGAAACTGCACATATCCTGATCCTCTACAGTATTTGCTTCCACATACTGTATAAACCAGGAGTCGGCAACCTGCGGCTCCGGAGGCGCATGCGTCTCTTTCCTTCTGTAGAAGGAAAAACGTTCTTAACGTTTTTAAATACTGTAAAATTGTGCATAAGTAATATTCAATTTAAAATTTTCTGTCAACGTGTCTGTCAAACTGGCGTGTGAGCATCATAGACTGTACGCATGGATCCCAAAGCTAAAAAGAGAAGAGTCAATAATAAGACTGGACTAAGAATGAAACTTAACATTTGCTTTCAGTCAATGAGGAAGGCCTGCTTCATGTTTGCGATGTAATGAGAAGTTTCTATGAGATAATTGTATCTGTGCTTAGAAACTACAAAAATGGCCGCTCGGGGTGGAGTTGAACCAGTGTCACCTGGATGGGGGCGTGGTCAAAAGCGCCTCATTTGCATTTAAAGAGACAGCACCAAAACAGGTTACTCTCAGACGCACCTCAGAACAGGTGTAGAAGAAAGGCCCGTGGAGCTACAAATAATGAGACTCAGACCCAGGCATTGCAGTTACGCTTTATATAGGCCACAAATTAATGATTTAGATGTAAAAATCTATTATTTGAAAACACAATATGTCCACTTTAACACTACGTTCCAGATGTGTCAATGCTGAGGGGAGTTTTTTGTTTGGACCAGTCTAGTTTTGCCTCTTTGGACTTTAGAACGCACTTGTTAAATGAATGGGGCTTGTACCGGCTAACGCATGCGCAAATGCGTTTTTTCACATTTTCCAGCTCCCGCGGCCATTTTGAAAAAGCCCCAAAATGGCTGCGGGAGCCGCTCAAACTAAAGTGTTGGTACATCCGTTAGGCGGATGTAGTCACGCCCAACGGATGTAGACATGACTACATCTGTTATTATTTATAGTCTATGGTGAAAAGTAGTGATAGAAACAAGGAGTTTTGAGAGCGAGGAGCTGGAAACAGGGATGGTGTTACACAGTTCATTCATTTCCTTTGGTTTCAACGTTGGCTCCCACAAGCTTTAAATCATGAATGAAGAATATACTCCATTTAACAAGTCCATCACAGCATCACCCGTCATAACAAGATTATACAGTTTAAGTGGCTTAACCTCCAAACCAATAAATAAATGATAAATAGTTAAAGGCGCTATACCCGTTTCTGCAATGTTTGAATGTTTAGCACCGCTCCCCAACTCGCTCAATGGCTTCTCATTTCCCCTACGCTCTCATAACACGGAGCCACCTAGTTGTATTTGCAATCTGATACGTATGCTAACATTAGTATTAGCGCAACTTGTAAGCTGTACAACAATCACTGATGAAATGGCACTAAAGCAATGCACTGCTAACACAATATATAAGTAAAAGAATACCATTAGTTTTGCGTCCAAATTTATTAATTTAAACATTAGAATATATTCTAATATTTAATTACAATTTGTTATAGAGCTCTTCACAGCAGCAGGGGGTCGGCCCGATGTTCCCCGGGTCCGATGTTCCCCGGGTCCGGTGTTCCCCGGGTCCGGAGTTCCCCGGGTCCGGAGTTCCCCGGGGCGGGGAACACTGGACCCGGGGAACATCGGACCTTCCAAACGCCGGAGGGCCCGGTGTTCCCCGACTGCGGGCCTCGCTCATAGACATGTTATTGCTGCGCGCGGATAATGGAGCAACAAGCGGCTTTCGCTCATAACTAGTCTAGGGCTACTGAATACTTTATATTATAAGCCTTGTAAATCTCGCATTGTAGTAGCCAACTACATTTTTACAACCTACCACCTCAGAATAAGAACGTGTTGCAGATAAGAAAAGTAAAATTAGCTCCACCACCTTTTCTTTTTGGAAACATATCTCCCTCCGTTCATCCTCGCAACAGTATCGGCGCCAGGTTTGCAATTTTGGGTAGGCCTGCAGATTAGTAAGTAGGCCAAATTCGCTTGCAAACTACAAGGGCTAACTGGAATTGGGGTTTCAAAGAATATGGTTCAAACGCACACACGCACGCACACGCACTCACGCGCGCACATACACACAAGCTCATTTATGAAACTTGCGTTGAAAAAGGTGTATATTTTGGGTGTATATTCCATTTACGCAATTTGCCAAAATGTTTTGATACATTAGAAAAATCCTTATTGAATTGTAGAAGTGAATAAATATAGATTGATTGAATGAATGAATGAATTCATATATATTATGCAGCGGTGGCTCTGAATGAAGCGTCTGCAGCGTCTTGGACGCAGCCTGGCTCGGGGTAGAAGTGCGCATTGAGGCACTGTACACTTCAGAGAGCGTTTGCGGTCCAGATTTCACAAAGAAACTCTGGAGCCAAAACTTCTGCACATGTGGCGCGACCTCTCACGGCACTCGCTGCGCACTCTGGACAGGGCAGTGAGACGTTTGAGTGAGCAATACCATCGATGCGTTATTGGGGTGTGTGTCTGTGTGAGGCTTACACAAATCTAATGAAATAACACATTGCTTTAGATGTGAATGAGGAATACAAATAGCCGTGCGTAATTACGCAGCGCAGAGCCTGCCACAGCAATAGGTCACACATCCCTGTTGCGTAAAGTGTATTTATATAGAGCCTTTCACTGTCCAGGATCACAAAGCGCTTCACATTTTAAAAACATACAGATCAAAATAATACACACACAAGTCAGATTTAATATAGGGTCCTCATGAGCTGTGATTTATTCGAAGTTTGCGTGTTTCCATTAGACTTTTTCTGATGCGCAAATTCAAATTTTGAAACATGATCCTCAATGAAAACACAGCATATAATTTTGCCAGAGGGAATATGTTTATTGTTGTACATATCTTGAATTTCATGCGTGTTGTGCCGAAGGTTGAGTTCAGCGTATAGATTTACACCACCTCCAGACCTGGCGTTTATTTTTTGCGTATTGTACGCTCACGTCCAGATAGATAAATGCGGAAAAGTGTAATATTTTGCGTACGCCTCATTTACCCTGATTTGGCCGTACGCAGGTTTCATACATGAGGCCTACAGTGAGGCCCAAAGTGAGGCCCACACTGAGGCCTACAGTGAGGCCCACAGTGTGTCTCACACAGGCCTAGAGTTTACCTCATCAGTGCAAGGCGAGTGTAACAGGTAAAAGTATTGTATTCCACTTGTTATAGACACTGTATTATAGTGGAACAGCGCCCTCTTGGGGTGACAGATCCTTTAAGTCTTGGGGAAAAATGTGCGCGGCGCCATTTTCACTATAAGCAAGCCGAGGTAAGGTCACAAAATTGGTGTGTCTGCTAAAGTTGCATTTGTATGTTTATTTGTCAATTGTATGACTGTGTGGGATGCTTGTAAACTTGAAAATGTCAATGTTTAGTTAAATTTGATTGCAGTTCAGTACATATAGGAATGTTAACCTTTTAAAATGTATACCCCACTAGCTGCTGCTCGTTTGCGGTGTCCCAGGTCCAAGGCTGACCAGCCATTTTGTGTGTTGCACAGATAAAGAACTTGTTATACTACCCTGTCTCCTGGCGGTTACTCTACTCACAACACAACGCAGAGTCAACCACGTTACACTGGTGCCGTGACCGCTTTCTGTGGCGACATCGAGCAGGGGATTAGCCTGTGGACGCCTCAGAGCTGTGGCCGCGCGGGAGCTACATCCAGGATTCAGCGGGTCTTACCGCCGCTGTCTGCCCGCCTCCCACGCTTCAACTCGGGGCCGCTCGTGCGCCTCTCCCCTGCACACATCGGGGCCGCGCGTGGACTGGTGCGCGCGCCCGCGGAGCTCCACTCGGACCCGTTGCGACTTGGAGGAGGTGGTAGTGATCTGTACCTGTGTTGGATGCCCTCGAGTTTTGCCATTGATGAGGTTGAATGGTGTTTACATTACTGCTGAATGACTTTGTTTTACATATAAACATGTTTTGAGGCGTTTTTGATACGTGTTTTGTTTGATGAGTTATTTTTTTTCTACACTCAAAAATCTGACTGTAGTTTGAGGCTGTTTTCAGGACTATTTAAATTTTGCCTCACGTTTTTTTGTTGGTGCAGTTTTTCTGTTGAGTTATGGAGAGTACACCTATTCTCGAGGTCGGCGTTACGTCACGAATCATGTGACCTGCGTAGCAACCAACCGCCGCCATGTTTGAAGGGTAAAACAAACCGAAGGCGAATCCAAAAGGTATCTATTTACATATGTTTTGCCGTGGATTATGTCAGTTATGGATACTAACGGACAACTTTGAATTATTGATGAATGATATCTGTGTATGCGAATGTATGTTGGTGGTGTAAACATTCAGGGCTTGCTTAGCTGGAGGCAGGAATCTAAATTCCTATCTATTTCCATTGTAGCTGTTGTCATAGTAACAATAAAGAAATGTCTAACTGTTGTTGGAAATATCAGATAAACCTTATTTTATTAACGCAAATGTCATTCCTCTTGTTCTTGCACCTTAAGCCACAAGAGGACCACCTTTTTCAGTTGTAGTTTTACACTTATAATCGCCAGTTTTAGTTTACATTCACTCCATACATGTGAGATTAAACACTCATGTAAAGCGCTTTGTGACTAGCTACATGTCTGTGAAAGGCACTATATGAATACAGATCTTCTTCTTCTATTGCAGCATGTCATATCAGTATATTGACAGTCTCCTAGCGCCTGCATTGACCAGGTACCACTAGCCTGGTTTTACCATACCCTCGTACTTGTTTCGTACAGAGGGTACATCCCGGGAAAAAAAGATTTGACCGGAGTTTACGGATGGCAAAGGCCAGGCTAAGGTACCACAGAAAGCTGTCGCTTGTAGGTTTACAATCTTGTCCCTATCGGCATCCAGCAGAGTCCTGGGAAAACAACCCAAAGGCATGGCCCAGGCTCGAGTATCCAGACATATACAATTACCTCATCAAGTCCCCTGGTATGAACACCATGTGTACATACCATGTGTCCTACACTTGTAGTAATATTTAAATACCCATCAAGCATCGATAACATTAACTATGTTATGACATTCAAAAGCATTCTGTTACAATGTGGCTGTAATGAGCTCAGTCTGTCAGTGGCACAGCTTGTACAGTGTAAGTGAGGGACAGTTTTTTTCAAAAGCCAAAAAAGGCTAACTGCAGAAATTCCACTTATTCCCCACACAACTAGTGCATTTCATTGTTGCTTATCGGTGTAGAGCTGCCGACCATTATGCATAGCGATGTCATAACATAGCAACAGAAAACAGTGGCATGGCATTGGTATTATTTTGTTATTCTTTGATTTGCCCCTCAATGTGTCCATTCATTTGAGATTACATTTCTATTTAAATTTTAAAGTAAAATGGCATACCCTCTATTCACACTTTTTATGACCGGTTATTTTTTGCAATAACCAGTCATCAGATTACATTTTATTATATTATATATGTAGTGTCTAACGACAACAGCAAGACTTTAACATTTCTAATGAGAAATAGTTTATTAGACATTGTATAAGTAGAAATACTAAAAGACGTGAAGATTGACATGAAAACATTTGTATCATTTACTTGCAATTTGTCAGTGTTTTTGCTCTGGTCAATTGTCACTCTCCTAGATGTGATATGTTAATGTATAAAAATAAAATTATTTCCCTTTCTTCATTTTCTTTTGTTTCAGGTGTATTTAGTATTATGATGGTGGAGACCGAATCATTGCTGATTTTGTCAATGCCTAATTCCGTCTGCTGCAGGTCTTGCATTTCCATGCAGGGTGTTGACACTTCTTGTTGCAACTCTTCTGGGACACTTGTCTCCTCAAATTCCAGTTGCTTCTTCACCTTCCTTTCCTTTCGTGATACTAGAGTAGTGGATGGTGCTGAAAAAAATAGATAAAAGGTATATATTTTGCAAATGATCACAGAAATTTTAAGTCATGGCCTCATATTTATAATAATAATAATAATGCATCAGTTTTATGTAGTGCTTTTCTGGACACTCAAAGACGCTTAACATTGCACTATTCATTCACTCCATACTTGGTGGTGGTAAGCAACTATTATAGCCACAGCTGCCCTGGGGTAGACTGACTGAAGCGAGGCGACCAGTCTGCGCCATCGGCCCCTCCGACCACCACCAACCACTCACTCACTCGGCTTCCTGGTGTTACTAAACGGCAGTATATTTAGTATTGAGTTGGATTGGGACGATAAGTCATAATAGTCGACTATGACTAGAAAGCAGCGACCAGTAGACTAGTTTTGTACTATAAATACCATCTTACCAAGAATTTCCAGGCTAGGCATTATGTACAAAAATCTGCATGACTAGTTACTTTGTAGATGCAATGACTTTTTCATACAGGAGGTAATTTTGTTTTCAAGGAAAATACATTTGTTAGCAAAATCTGTATTTTTACACAGATTACCATTTTTGTAGCAGTTAACCTCCCAAGTACTACTTTTTCAAATTGGTCATTAGAAATCAACATGTATTTTTTATTTATGTATTTCATATGGGGGACAACATTCTATTTCACAAGGTGCTTGTATCAATTGTTGTACACAACCTCATTGCAATATGGAATCTTTTAATTCTTAACTGTGCATTGGAAATGCAGCTCATTATCTGCAGGTACGGTTTTACTGCAGTGTAAAATAAGAGCAATAAACACAATTTGCTACTATATATATGTCTGCATAAACAAAATCGACTGCAATTTGTTAGTTTTAAATTTCAAGTGTTGTGTCAAACAAATTCAGATAATTTTTGGTCATTGATCTAGGAGCAAACTAGATGCATGTTGATCACACTACAGTTTGATGGTTTTTTTTCTGTTAACGATAGGGTGCTGTGGGTAGCAAACTTTTCTTTTCTTTTCTGTGCTCTCTTGAAGCGATCAAGTGTGGTACTCTTAGTCAATTCCTTCAGCACTGCTATTCTCTTTACATCATACCCTACCTAATTAAACACCCCCCACACCCCACAAACCTAACACCCCACTATCAACCAACTCAAAAAACTCCAAAACCCTCCCTCATACACACCACCACATAAACCATCCCCCCCAAAATCCCCCCCCATCCCATCACAAAAAACCCATAAACATACCTATCTTATCCACTTCTTTAAACCCTCATCACCACCAACACACCTAACCATCCAAACCAACACCCTCAACCCCCCAAATCCCCCCCCCCCATACACATAATAATTAACATCCACAACCAAATCCCTCAACCCCTCCCCCCCACAACAACCCAATCTTAAAACCCCCCCCCCCCTCCAAAACCCAAAAAAAATTCCTTTCAACTCCTCACCCCCCATCACCTACTACCATTCCCCTCCCCCCCTCATATCCCCCCCCAAATAACCATCCCCCCCCCCCCCCCCTTTAAACTTACTACAACCCATAACCCCAACTTCACACCATTCCAATTTCATCCATTAATTCCTCATAAATCACATCTTAACCTACTCATTCCTCTCTCAACCCTTTCAAACCCCATCCCCATATATTCTCACCTCATACCACAAAAACTCCCCTATTATAACCTCCCCTCTAACCATCCTCCTCCCCCTCCCCCATTTCCACCATACTACTCCAACTTACACTAACAACTCCTACCTATCCTTTTCTCTTCCACCAAAACCCCCATTTACCACATATTAAACTAAAAACCTCTAAAAAAAATATCATCTATATAAATAATTCCTAACTACCCTAATATACCCCCCCCCCCCCTCCTTCCATATATCATCACCATTCCAAACTCAACAACCCTATACATATCCAAAAAAATATATATAAACAACACAAAAACATAAAATATAAACCACAATCAACCCCAAATCCATATAATTATCAAACATTAAAAAAATAACCTACCAATCTCATCCAACATAATATCACTTTAACACCCCTCCACCCCAATAAATACAATACATACAATAACCTCTTCCCCCTACCCCATACATACCCACCCCCCATATTAACTTCCTAAACCCATCATCATATCCATAACCCCAAAATAACCCACCCAAAATATACAAACACCCTCCCCCCATATTTTCCACCCCTCCTCTAATCTCTTTAACCCCATAATACACCATCATCATCTTATATAACCCTCAAATCCCTACTACTCACTCCTAAATTATCTATCTTCATTAAAACCATCATTACCCCAATACACACCTAAATATACTCTACCTAATAATCCATACAATACCCTACCCAATTCAATCATTTCCATCCAACCCTCACCCTATAACCAATACCAAAATTCTACCCATAAACATACATATACCACACCACAAAACACAACTAATATATAAACCCATAAAACCAAAAAAAAAACAACACCTAACATATAATCTATCTAAACCACCCTAAACCCAACCCCCATTCACTATAATATATACCTTCCTATCTCTAATACTAATAAATCCTTACCATCAAACCAAACCCCCTAAATAAACTAACCCATACCAACACCCCCCAAACCTCCAACACAAACCCCAATCACCCACACCAAACACTAAACTACAAACCCAAAAAACCAATCCCATCCCCCCCCCCACCACCACACCCCCACCATCAAATCCCTATAAAACAAATTTCCACCCCACATCACACTCTCTCCTACCCCACCACAACAACAAATAAAATAACCACAAATCCCACCCCCTAAATAAAAAAAACTAAATCATCTCCAAAATTCATAACCCCCCACACAATCCCCCCCTCACACTCCCCTAACAAAATAACCCCCCCCCCCCCCTTAAAATCATCCCCACTTCACAACCATTTCCCTTTCCCATCAACAACATAACACAATCACAACCACCTCCACACTCCACCCCAACCATATCCACACTCATCCCACCTTACAATCCCCCTTAACACCCCCCCCTCCTCTCCATAAAAACATACCATATCCCTACATATCCTCTACAACCCTCATTACACCCCCCCCCCAAAAACCCACCAAACTCTCAAAATTCCCCACTATTCCTAAACTATTAATCACAAATACATAAATCCTAAATCTCATCCCCCCCTTCAACCCTATCACCAAACAACTTACCCAATCACTACTATATCCCCCCAAAATCCAACATAAAAACCACAACCCCTTACTATTCCCTCAAACTCTAAATTACATAAATCACTCCCCCCCCCCCCCTCCCTAAAATCCTCAAATACCCATCCCACCCATCATCCCCAAAATACACCCCCCCCACCCCCCTACTAAAAATTCAATCTCACCATTATCATATTTCTTCCCAACCTACCACTTCCAAACATACATAACCCCCCCCTAATATCATCAAATCTAAACATCCCCATATAAAACACATCATTTTCCTATCCACTCCCCCATTTACCCATAATTTTAAATCTACCAATACCCAATTACCACCCTTTCCACCCCCATCTATCCCTCCCCACAAACCCCCCCCCCTCACTCCCCTAATCACCTTCCTTCATTCACCCATCAAACCATAATAATCACCAAATCCACCCCCCACCCCTACATAATCCCCTATCCCATCTCACACCCCCTCCTTCCCCAAAAACCCCACCATACAAAATACACAAACTAATCTCCACATATCCAATACCACTAACTTAAAACTAATCCTTCTTTTCCCCCTTATATTAAACCATCATATACTCCCACATCAACTCAAATCCCCAACATATAACCCTCTCTTACAAATCACCCTCTCTTAAAAACCCCCTATTAAACTAATCTAATTAAACATCAATCAACCCCCATTTCAAATAACTCCAATTACATTCACAAAACACCAAAATCCCCCAAAACCAACTCTCATTTAATATATAATATCCAAAACCTACTCACTCCTAAACTCCCACCTCCCCTTTAATTCACCCCCCCCCCCCATCCCCCTAACCCCTACCAACCCCTAACCAACAAAACCAACCCCAAAATCATCCAATAAATCCCACCTCCTCATACAATATCATACCCATCCACCCAATCCATCTAATTTTCCATATCAATTCATCACCTTCCAAATACAACCCTTATCTAATTCACTATACCCACCCTATTTTATCTCTAACACAACCAAAACCATTCCTCAACCCCAATTAATCCTCTCCCCCCCTCAACCAACCTATCCCCCCCTATTAATAATCTAAATACCACATTCCCCTACATACCCATCCCCCCTTCCTTCCTAAAAACTACCTCCAACACCCCCTTCCAACCTTATCCACCCCCATCACCAACACTATCCATAACATTCTAAATAACCCCCTCTCACTCTTTACATCAAATCCCCCACTCCTACCACAAAAAATCAATTAATAAATACCCCCACCCACCACAAACCATAACAAACTCCCCCCCCAACACCCACACCAACAACCCCCATCCCCATCTTAAAACCCCACCATCAAACAACCTCAAACTCCCCCCCCCCCCCCACCTAAAAACCATCCCCCCCCCCCCCCCCCCCACACCAATCCACACTTCCCACCATCTCTTCAATTCAACCTCCAACACTAACTACAACCCATTTATCACCTTTTCATAAACTTCAACAAATAACTAAAACCAACTAAACCACCATTCTTAATAAATCTCCACATCCCCCCCCCCCATCTCACATCCTCTCTCAATATCTTCCAATTTCCTACATCAAACCCCCTCCCCAAATACTAATCAACTAACAACCCAATTCCTCCATATTCAAAATCTACACTACCACATCCCTACCAACTACCACAACCCACACCCCAAAACAAACACACCCAAACCTACATCATCCAAACCACCAAAACTCAAACACCAACAAAAACAAACCACACAACACCCCCCCCCCTCCCCCAAACCCCTCAAAAACACCATCCCCCCCAAACCCATACCCAAATAATCCACCACCATATAAAACCCAAACAACAAAACCTACCACTAACACACATCAATCAATCACCAAAACACCACAATAAACTACATCCACACCCCCACTCTTACCCCACCCTCAACTCCCCAAAACAAAAAAATAATAAAAAATCAATAACTCTCTCAAAACCAAAACAAACCAAATTCTACACCCCAATAACCAATCCAATACACCATACTACCACTTACAAACCATTCAATATACACTCTCCACTCCAAACCCCAAAATAATTAATCCCCAACCAACTATCATAAATCCCATACTCCCTTCAAAAACCAACACCATATCAAAAAAACATCCAATCACAATATCCCAACCCATCCAACACAATCCTCCAATACCACCCATCCCCAATACACCTCATCAACCCCACCACAAAACAACAAATTCCACAACCTTTACCTAACCAAAAACTCACACTCACCCCCCACCCTATTATCTAAACACACCACCCCCTATCATCCCCTTTATACCACACCTTTTCATATACTATTTCATCACTTTAAATAAACTTTCTCTACCTCCACCTACCAACTTAAATTCCCACCATCCCCTCCCCCTCAATCCCATCTATCTACCCCAAACACACTCCTACACTAACACACCCCCACCAATCCATCATAATACTAAAATAACCAATCATCAAATAAAATAAAATATATCCCCAACCCCCAACAAAAATACATCCTTAACCACCCACCCAACATCCCCAATCATACATAACCACCATACACAACACCCATATAACAACATCAACCCAAACCCAATTAATCAATCAATAACTTCCCCCCCCCCCCCACCTCCCTTCCTTTTTCTTTTCAAATTACTAAAAAAAACCCACATCCAAACCAAAAAACCCCCACTCCCCCACACACCCTAACAATTAAAAAACTCCCAAATCCAATCAAAAACATCCAATATATACCCCACCCAATCCAATCCAAAATCCCCCCTCCCACATATAAACCTACCTTCTACCCTCCTCCCACAAACAACAACCAAACCCCAAAAAAACCACCCCATAATACCACACTAAAAACCCCAAACCCACCACCATCCACCAACACACCCATCACCACCACCCCCCCCAAACACACCACCAATACCACACTCACACAACCTAAACCCAACCCCACACACTAATCAAAACCCCCACACACATACACCACCGCCCACACAAAACCTCACCCACACCAATACCCAAAAACACAAAACCAAAAAAAACAACAAACCCAACCCAACTACACACCCAACCCAAACCCCCAAACTCACCAAACCCACAAAAATCCCCCTCACCCCAACAAACAAACCCAATATCCAATCCCCATCTATCAACACATCCACACCCACCACCACCCAATAAAACCAAAAAAACACCCTCTCTCAAAACCCCCCCATATACCCCAATCCTCTCATATACATCTCCCTCCTACCCTTTATCCATACCCACCCCCCCCTCCCCACTTAACCCAACCATCTTCACATCCCACTTCCCACTCCTAATTCCCCTAATATTAATCATCTAAATAAACTCATCCCCAATTCATTACTTTACCCCCTCCAAATTTACCCCCCCCCATCCCTCATTCACCCATATTACACCTTAACTTAATATTATTTTTCCCAAAAAAATACCCAACAAATCTACAACTAACCCAATTCAATAATCACCCCTATACCAAAAATCAAAACTACTCCATCACCCCCAATACCACCTCACCCCCACCACCTCATAAAAAATCCATCCAACCAAATAAACAACCATTCACCCCCCTACCCTCACCACCACCCCTCACCAAATTTCATATTATACCCCTCCTCAAATCACCCCCCATTCAAATCTTTATCCCCCACATCCCTCCCCATAAAAATCTTTTTTTAATTAAAAAATTTTTACACCCCCCCATCCCCCCCCCCAATCATCCAATACTACAAAAATCAACAATCCTCCTACCTTCCCCTTTTACCTTAACACTCCTTTAATACACCACCCTAACTATTCATATATACAAACCCCCCAACCCCCCCCACATTCCACACCTACCTTCACTAAATACCCAAACTTCCATCTCATCCCCCCTCAAAATACTTCCCTATCTCAATACCCATCAACCCCCCATCCAATCTCTCCCATAACAAAATCACCCTAAAAACTCTTCTAACAAACCAAACACTATTACCCTCCCTACAACAGCTTAAAATACAACCACCACAATCCCATCCATCACCATAAATCCCATACATATCTTAACTATCCCCCCCTATAAAATAAAAACCCCCTCCTCATATATCAACAATATAACCACACAAAATAAACCCACTCTTTCAAATACCTCTTTCACTCCCCCCCCCCCCAATAATACAAAATTCCCCCAACAACCTTCCTCCTCACCCATCCACAACATACCAAAAAATAATAATATACACATAAAAACCCAACCCCCACATTTCATTCCACATATAAATAAAACAACAATCAATTTAATCAATCCTTTTCCCCCCTACCCACACCCCACACATATTCAACTACTCCCCCAATCCCAAATCCAACATCCATCAAAAATCTCCAACCCCAAATACACCCCCCCCTCCTCATTTCCCATCCCTACCATACCCAATTCCCTCACCCAACCCCCACACACTAAACATCCCTCCTCCCCCTTACCCCAAAAACCAAACTTCAAACAACACTTCACCCCATTCCCTCCCCTTCAATACCTTCACCATCCCTCCCCCCAACCCATCCCTATAACTCCCCCAACCACCCCCACACACAACCCCACCCATCCTCCCTGTCCACCCTAAACCCATATATCCATCCATCTAATACCACCTAACCACCACCCTCTCAAACCCCACCAACCTTACAACCATCAACCCCCCCCCATCACCACTCTATCCTCCTCTTCCCTTTCTTCAATCCAACCTCCCCCAATCATTTACAACATATACATCTCACAACCCTCACCCACACTTACCCAACACTTCCATAAACAATCTCATAATAAATAAAACCTCCACCTAATTTCATATAAACCCTTCTCCCCCCCCCATCAATTCCCCCCCCCCCCCCCCCTCTTTAAAACCAAACTTCTACTAACCCACCCCCACCCACCCTTCCATAATTCATACCCCCCTAAACAAATCACAAACCCCACCCACCCCTCCCACACCCCAAACAAAATACACTCTCCATTACACCCCCATCATACACACCCTCTTCCAACCCCCCCAAATCCCACCCCCCCCCCTACATCCCAACACATAACCCCCCCATCCCACACCTCCCCCCCCCCTCCTCCCCATACACCATAAAAAAAATATCAATCACCATATACCATACCACCCACAAACTAATTCCCCACCATAATTCACCATACCCCCCCCCTCCTCCCACCATCCCTCCCTTCCCCAAAAACCACCCCCAATTTCCCCCCTTTCTTTATCCCCCAAAATCTCCCTTTCACTCAACAACTTCCTTCCTTTCTCATCACCATTCCACCTCACTACCTAATTACCAAATAAAATATAAAACCCCCCAACCCTAAAATTTCCACTCTCATTAATCCCCCCACAACAAAATCCCTTATTCTTAACCCATTAACTCACTTCCCTCTACAACTTATTACACCCCCCCATTATCCCCACCCATAACTCCCTCTCAACATAATCCTCATTAACCCAAAACTCATTTTCCATTCTCCCCCATTAAATCCATCTTCCCAAATTAATCACACTAAATTAATCAATATATCCCAACTACCTAACACCTCATACACAAAAACATACCCCTTCCCATATACCCCAATTAAATATAACCCTTATCATATTCCATACACATATAATCAAAATCCATCAAAAACCTCTACCTCTCCCACCCTACCCCAACACCACAAAAAACCCACCATTACCCACAAACACCAACCCAATCAACCTACACACATATCATTCACATTTCCCCCCAATTCATACCTATTCTAATCTACCCCCTACCACCACTTTCATACCAAAAAAAATCCCAATAAAAACAACCCCCCCAACAACACACCAAATAAAACCAAAACCCCCCAATTAATCCCAACCCACTATACATAACCACAATAACACCTAAAACTCAACCACCCAACCTAACAAACCCCCAAAAATTTTCTCCTCATCCATATCTCCCACATCCCTACCAATACCTCATTAAATAAATCTATTCATCCCAACCTCCTCCCCCCTCCATACCCACTCCTCCACCCCCCCCTCTACCACACCAAACCAAACCACACTCCCCTCCACCCTCCTTTCATCCTTTCACATCCCCCCATTCCCCTCCCACTCCCCCTCTCCTCCCACTCTATTACTTACCCCCAATAAAACAAATAAAAAACCTAACAACCAAAAAAATCAACCCCCAACCATTATTACTAAAATTTCACAAACTCCAATCCCCCTAATCAAATCACTCCACCACCATTCCAACCACCACC